TGCAAAAATAAATTTATCATATAAATATTTACCTCTACAGAAGTAGGTTGTGGAGCAATAGGTTGAAAAAATCGCGTTCGGATTTTCTGCCTAATATTATCGACGATTCACAACCGCGGTTTTATCTTCTTGTGGTTCAAAATTCTGCAAATTTCGCCTATCTTCATTCCGAAAAATCTTGTCCAACGCTAATTTCAAAGTTTTCGTGATCATGTCCACCATAATTGTGCTGGACAAACATACTCTGATTCAGGCTCCGGTTTCAATTTCAGAAACATTTTGACTAGTTAATATATTTTGGGGTTGCTCATTGTAAACTGATTGACCAAATCCTGTTCCTGGTTTTGTTGAACCGACAAATTTGCAGGCTGGTTGGTAAAATTAGATTCTAAAGATTGATGATGTGGTGTCTGGTGATTCTTACTCGTACTATCCAACTGAGCTGGGAAACAGGAAAAGTGTTTTGGTTTATGCATTTGCAGGCTCTAAATTGAGGAGAGATTCAGATTTCACTGACTTCATTTGGTTTAAACCGATGTTTTGGCTAGTATCAGGTAAAGTGTAAGTGTGTGTCAAAACTTGGCTGCATAAAGTTTTGTACAGGCATAATATTTTGACTTTGCGCCGCTGTAATGTTTCTATTAGCAGTTCTATGTGACATCTGACCAGCTCTTCTAACGACATATTACCAGGACCTGACATCGGAGGTAAGACGTTACTAGTTTTAGGAGGTCCTGGTTGCACCACTGAATTCTGACTACTGACAACTTCCACATTACCCCTATCATGATTTTGCAAAGATAAATTCTTAACACCTTGATTGAGGTTATCCAAAGCTTGGTTTGTAAGCATCATCGTTGGTGGTGTATTAAAATTTTCCCCTTGTACTCCGGTACTCGATCCACTGGATCTTCTAGAAACGTTCTGCAAACTGGAAATATTCCTGGGACTATTCTGGCCAATTTTTGGGGGCGCATTTGCTAATGGTTTATTATTTCCTATTTGTGACTCCTTTTTGGCATCGTTAAAAGACCAATTCCAGGACGCGTCGTTGGCTTGTCCAAAACTGGAGATTATGGCATCCGCTTGATCTCTTATTTGATCTTGTATACTGGTAGTGTTTTCCGTTGGTGCTTTTGGTGGCATCGGTTTCCTGTTTGCATTTTTGGAATTGTCCTCCCAGCCCCAATCCCATGGATCGTCTTGTTTTTGGTTCTTGTTGTGGTATCGATGGATTTTGCTGAAAGTTAGAGTTTGTGAAATTTTGCTGTTGCATCCAATTGTGCTGCTGAGGTTGCAGTTGGAGTTGAGGTTGAGGTAATGTTGCTGGACATACTGTTTATTCGCGATCTGTAAAAACAAAACCAGCTTAATAATCTAAGATCAGACCACTTAAGGGGCACGCCTTGTGTGACAACCTAAAAAAAGCCATTTTTGGGAATTAAAAAAAAGAAAAACTTATGAATCCTTTGAGGGTGCATTTATACATGTTTTGAGAATATACGGCAAAATTTTTGAAATAAAATATTAAATATTTTTGAAATGACACGCGATCTCCGGCGGCACCAAAAAATGTCCTCCACTGCGCAGGTGATTGCTGCCTTCGATGACGATGACCCTCGGGCTAACAAAAAAATTGAAAATCAACAAAATGGCGGCACGTTGAAAAAAAAAGTTAAATTTTTCCCAAAATTCTGGTCGTTTTTGATCAGATCAAAAAACTGGAGAGTCATCGCATGTAGAACTATATAGAGGAGATGCAAAAAAAATTGATAGCGATCGGATTATTTGTCTCCGAGTAATCACTCCAGCAATTTCGAAAAAAACGTGTTCCGAGAAAAACGCGTTTAAAGATAAAATAATCGTTATACTATATACTAGAGATGGGCTTATCATATCCGAAGCCGGATCGGTTAAAATTTGACTCCGCTTCAGAGAGGAGTTATATCCACTTAACAACTCCACAACTCCGACAAATTTTGAAACATAATACTTGACACAAATGTGTTCTTTAGTTTATCGTTAACATATCTAAGGATTTATTAAGACTTTGGAAATAGTTTACAAATAGTTCAAACATTTTTCTTAATTTTATTAATACTAATAATTACTATTTTATGCATACAAATCTCAAATTGACAAAAAACTTGGGAATCAAAATCATTTTTGTAATTATTTTTGAAGAGAGAATATACAATTTTTTGAATATGTTTGCTTATGCTATGCTTATTATTATTATTGCTTTTGTCGTTTTTGCTTTGGGAAGGAAGCGGTCACTTTCTTGTCTCACAGGCAGTTTTATGACCTTTTAGGTATACGTTTTTTTCCCAGAAAAGACAAAATATTACTTCAAAGATACAGAACAATGAAATTATGTTCATGTGTGAATAGCTCCAATGTATAATTTATTGAATAGTAAGGGGTGATATTTCTAACTAGGACAATATTTGGCCGCGAATGACGGCAATCAGGATATACCACCCAAAAATATACGAAACAAATACATTGATTCAATCTGGTTTTTCCATAGCCTAAAATAACAATACTTTAGAGTACAAATTTTGTCAGTGATATCATTAGTATTTAAGCAGCAAAAAATATTCAGTATTATATTATTACTTTTACACAATTATATAATTGTGTAAAAGTAATAATATGCTAATCGAACTACACGATATAATATTAATTCTCAAATGGAAATAGCAGAAGATAAATTTTGAAAGCAGAAGTATTATATTTTGCTTTTATTACAAAGTTTATTACATAATTTTTATATAAAATTAATCCAAAAAATCAATTATTTTCTCCTCAAAAGGAAATAATTAAATTGATTTTGATTCTCAAGTTTTGCGTTTTTACTTTGGTCAACACTGCTAAAATTACGAGTCACTGAGTCGATCATCTGGTTGACCGAAAAATTTTACAATCTGTCATTTATTCGTTTATTTGTTTATTTTTTCAGAAAAATTATTTTATTGATATTTATTCATAAATTTTTATTTCTAATAATTAATGGGATTTCAACAAATCCTTAGATACATAAACAACGCACATTAGAACACATTTGCATCGAGTATTTCGGTTTCAAAATTATCGGAGTCGTGGAGTTGTTAAGCGGATATAACTCCACGATGAAGCGGAGTCAAATCCGAGTCGAACCGGCTTCGGATATGATAAACCCATCTCTAGTTTGAACTATTGTAACTATTTCCAAAGTCTTAAAAAATCCTTAGATATGTTAACAACACACTAGGGAACACATTTGTGTCGGGTATTAGGTTTCAAAAATGTCGGAGTTGTGGAGTTGTTAAGCGGATATAACTCCATCATGAAGCGGAGTCAAATTTTAACCGATCCGGCTTCGGATATGATAAGCCCATCTCTAATACATACTGTTTTAAATGGCTGTAACTTAAAAACTATTTAAGATATCGATTTAAAATTTTAGTATGCTATTTTTAAAGTTACAACCTATCGAAATATGGAAAAATTCAAAATTCGATCTTTTTAAAATTTCACACTAGGCGTGCCCTTCAATCTACATATTCTAGACTAATAAAAAAATCCAAACCCACACTATATGTATTATTTAACTGCGCCGTCTGGCCATGCAACGACGTCGTCGTCCGTCCTGGCGGCGGATTATTTATCTGCTGATAACCAACAAAGTTACTAGCGCCGCCTAACGATTGCGGCGGATCTTGTTGTTGATGATAGTGTTGCTGATTCATCACCGCATGCTGTTGATGGAAATGATTGCTTGGATGTTGCACTTGATGATGATTGACGCCCGTGAACCAATTATTGGCGGTCGGGGGCGCTGATTGGTGATGGATGTTGTTAGCTGACCGGGACTGTAAATAGATGAAAAAATGGGGTGATGGTAATGGTAATGGACCTATAATAGCACCTAGAAGGCGCTTTAAGAATAAAATTTGGGAATATTTGTGGTAGGTGAAAATAATATTTGAATAGTAAAATCGGGCAATACTTGGAGTCAATTGTAATTGATGAATGCGAATATTTTCAAGGATGGTTGACACTAAGTGATCACCATTGGAGATAAACATAGAACAAATGCGCTTTACTCTGTATGAGTGTGTTCAGCATATCACAGATGATGCTTCAAAATCAGCGTTTGTTTTAAAACACAGCTTGTCTAGATATAGTACACGTACTTTAAACGTTTAAGAACCAATTTTATATATTAAATGAAAAAAATGTTTAATTTTTTCTCAATATATATTTTTTACAACATATTTGTGATTTTAGTCAAATTAATCAGGTTTATCTTTTCTATTGTAGATTCTAGATATTTATATAAATCTTATCCTAGAATTGAACCCAGAAGTAAATTTACGTGCTACGGTTGACGGGCGACCTCTTTGATATGCTGCAAGAATTAAAATTGTTTTGCCATCTATTTATACTTGTTTATCTATGGTGATCAGTTAACTTGTACCGAATGTTGCTTCATACAAACTGATAGGCAAATAAAATAATAAAAACCCATTCAATTTTACATTAAAATATGTGGACATTTGAGTTATACACATGATAGTTATGACAGGATTCCACTGCATATGTCAAATAAATAAATAAAATCAAATAACACAACTTATGGATATGATTGATAATGAATCGTAACGATTTTAGAAACCGCATAATTATTTTAAGAATAAATATCAACACAGGAGTACCACAAGGAAGCATCATCGGTGCTTGGGGGAAGTTAAGCTTAGAACGTGAATTTATAATTGTAAATGACTTCAAGGCATTATCTTGTAAAACTTGCAAAACATAATTGCTGCAGTGGGCAGACAATAAGAAATAAAAACTGTATGGCATCGTGCCTCACGACAAATTGCTGGAGCCTCCCGTACCATAATTAAATATTCCTATAAAAGAAAATTTAGTTGAAAAAAATATGCTTTAGAATTAAAACAAAATGAACTTTTTTTTTTCAAAAGCAATTGTTTCGTCAATCAAGCAGAAAGTTTTTGAATCATTCATATCGGATGCTTAGGTTCTCTCAAAAAAGCCAATTTTAGCACATTTAGCTGAAACGGCTGGATCTGTGTTTGCCAAAAAACTCATAATACTTCCTTCTCATCATTACAAACTGAATGTTTTTTTTCACGCACGCACACACACACATAGAATGATAACATTCTAGATCCTCCCCCCACGAAGTGATACCTAACGTAGAGGTTTTAGTCGACATACCCAGACTTACTTTGGGATTCATAAATGAATTTCCTTCGATGTACAAAAAAAACACGCACACACATCCATTTTTTCTGAGGTATGCCAAAATGTTCAGAAACTTCTAAAACGTGAAAATATGCAAAAATTTTTACTTTCGATTTTTGGACGATTACAAAAGTTAATAAATATTTTCTAAGTTATGAGAACCTCGACAGAAATTAGCATCTAAGTATATCGATACAAAATGAAATTTTTTTCAAAAAAAATTACATTAATAAGTGACCTCTTTCTATTTTGGGAGAAGAATAAGTTTAGGAAATAAATCTGTGGACAGTAGTTCTATGAGTGATATAATATCATTCTGATGAATCCAAATAAAAAAATATATATAACACCTTGTTAAACATAATTAAAAAAGAAATAAATACTGAAAATCAAGTATATTTCCTGATTCATATTTCATTCGTACACTGAATCGATATTGCCCGATAAGAAGAAATATACACAATAGTATTGCCAGATAAGAAAAATATACACTCACATGTATATATTTAAATATTTAATATCACATGCCGTTAATGTCACAAAAAGTAAAAACAAACTTTCTTATCAAAACAATAAATATATCTGAAATATTTGTACTTTGTTATTATTTTTCTCAATACACACAAGAATGTCGATATGCGAAAAAAAAACAACAATAATCTGCGAATTGTTTGCAATTCGAGCGACGAATTGCAAATATTTTTGGATGCAAAACAGGAAAGATTAGAATGAAATGATTAAACGACTTGTTAAGAATTCTTTAAACTGTATGTATATGGAATTTTGACCCGAATAATCGATTTAATAAGAATTGAGTTCTTAACTTTTCAGAAAAAATCATTACTTCTAAATCAAGTTCTTATCGAGCTTATAAATTTTGGTGTCAAACGATTCAGAATGACTTGAAGGTGAATTAGCAAATCGGATTTTGTTAGTGTTTTTTTTGAAGTTACATTCACAGTTTAAGGATTTCTTAAAAAAAACATCTCTAAAAATATATATACGATTCAGTATCATATTTTGCAGATATAAGATGCAGCAGAGAATTTTTTTTAAATTGCCCAAATTTCGCTTAATTAATATCTCTCCAAAATTTCGATTTTCTATAATTAAAATTTAACAATCAATACATCTCATTTGTCTAGTTTTCATTCTCGTCTGAAATTCCAACGATTATAATTTATTTAGAACGAAATTTATAAAAAATATAAATATCCTTCAAGAAATAAATTTAAAATCCATACGTTTCGCCTTCATTCAGTGGAAACTAAAAATAAAAAAAAAATAAAAACTAAACCAATTGAATCGAAAACATTATAGAGTAAGAAGTACTTATGATTTGTTAATTTTAGAGTTAAAAGTAGAAAATTCAATAATCCATAGTATCAGGGTATCATGATATGGTGATGAATTTTCTGTATATACATTATAATTTTTATACTGTTATTATAAAGCTAAATTTTATTTTACTCATTAATCGTTATATTTTTATTTGTAATCAACAGTTAAATAAAAATTTGGTCGACTTTCTTCCAAATTAATTAAATAACTTTAAGAGTTTGTTTTTGTACTACTTTAAAAATTATAAAAACCTTCCACAAAAACTAAATATTATTAGCAATCATTTTGCCAAAATCGGTCAAGTCGTTTTTATCGTAATTAACAGTTAAAGATATAAAATTCTTACGGTTATTCGGATTTTGATAAATCTTTTTAGAGTTTGTCAAAGGAAATTTCTAAGATTTAATGAACGATAAAACTATAGTAATAGTGTAAAAATACTCTATTTCTCATTCCTCTTTTATTTCTTACACCCGCTTCCACTCACTCTACCGCACGTGCTGCGTAACCTTGATCAGTGTTCATAATGCACTGCGATTGAACACATACAATATAGGAGGGCAATATGTGCTCATTTAATTTCTCGTTTATTTATATATTAGTATATATTATTTTTTTACACAATTTTAGTGTTCAATGAATTTTACATAATAATTTTTTTCTGTTGTTTTTTCTGGTTTGGTATGTATATAATTTTTTCCTCTTTATATTTTTATATTTAATATCAACTATTGCTATTTATGTAATATGTTTTTTTTAGATTAATGATTGATGACACACATCAAGTGTCGAAACGTTTAATTTTTTTTTTCTATTTAATCTTTTTTTAATTGAACGATTGGGCTGCAAAAAAATGTTCAAATATGTATCAACGTCAACAAAATTATCATCATATATATATGTAAAATATGGCAATAGTCCAATTTTTTTTAGTAATTAATTACCAAATCTATAAATGTTCAAGATTTAATAAATATTATAATACCAAATGTTTAACATAGTTATTTGTGTAAATTGTTTATAATCTAATTAAGATTACAACAAACAATGTGTAATGTATGTTTGCAATGCCAATGTCAATGTTAAACAATAGTAAATAAATGTAATACAAATATAAACAAATAAATGGTAGTAGCAATATTTATTTGTAATTATTACTCATTCATAAAAATAAAAGAAATCATTCTGATGAAGTATCAAGTGGAAATATATTGAAAACAAATCAGAATCCAGCTGCATTGTAACTAGAAGCCATAAATGATTATTATAATATCACAATATTGTTCAAGTTAAAAATCATTATATTGATCGAATAACACCAAAACAATGCTAAGTGATATATGAGAATATATTTGATCTTTACTTCACAATTTGTTTGTACAAAGTCTATTGTATGCTTTTACAATTTATGGAAAATTTAATTTATTCAGTAACTGGTCATGTTGGGTTAGGTTTACCTAAAGTTTTGACGAACAGTAAAAGTGTTGGCAAAATTGTAATGCTAAATCTTCTAATATTAAATCTTTGATAAAGTATTGAAAGGAAATATATGGAAAACAAATTAGAATCCAGCTACCTTATAAGTAGAAACCATAAATAATTATTACAGTATTGCAGTATTGTTTAAGTTAAAAATTATTAAATTGATCAAACTACAACAAATAGAACCTGAAAGATATATTAGAATAAATTTCATCTCTAAATCACAATTTTGTCAAGAATTTGTCTGTACAAATTTTATAATTTGTTTTCACGATTTATGTGGAATTTAATTCATTCAGTAACTTGTCAGGTAGGTTAGGTTTACCTAAAATTTTAACGAACAGTACATATTGGCAAAATTATAATGCTAAGTCTTCTAATATTCACATACTAGTTTTTAAAATATCTCATTTAATTTTTATAATATTTAGTAGTTGAAATTTTGCAAAAATGCAATTTGCTTTCCATGTATTTCCACTCGATATTTCAATGTCAGAAAGATTTGATTTATTTCTCTGAAAGAGTAGTAATAATTACAAATAAATTATTTACTGAACTATCTATGGTAATCATTTGATATTATAATATTTATTTAATCGTGAACATTTGTGGATATGTGAAATTTTGTAATATTTCAAATTTTTCAGTAAATTTATTGATTGACTTTTTTGCATATAACAAATTTATCGATACATCTACCTTCTTAAAGTGATTTTTCATGTACAGTCACCCAGATTAATAGAAATACAATGGATCGAAGGATTACCATTGAACATATAATTGTATCATGTAAAATTATCAAATATTTACATGATACATTTACATGATAGTTATACAGTGCTTTGAGCACTATGATAGAGTTATCGTAGGATAGGTTAAATGAATAAATAAATGCATGGAATGTTTTTGGATATAGACATATATCATTTTGGATTGAATTAGAATCTGATGTGTTACTTGATTTGTACAAATATAAATACAAATAAACCACCTACAAAAATCCATGTCTAAGGTTTTAATAATTCCTTTTATGTCAGAGATCAATTATTATATAGGTGTCCCCAAATTTCCATTCCCATACGTGTCCAATCCTCTTGTCAATTTCTGCCAATTGATTTTTTGACACACAAATAAAATCTAACCTAATTTCTGGCACTGACCTGATCCGTTGCCGAATTATACAAATTAAAAGCCGGATCCTGAGGCCCTTCCGAATAATTCGAATTCTGCATCTTGAATCACTTCAATTAATAATTATATAACACTAAATACACGGACATATGTTAATAGAAAATTTTCTACACATCACAACAGCAGCACCCGATCTGACAGACATATTAACACTGCACGAATTTGACTTGTTTTTTTCTATGAAATCATAATAAATAATTGTTTCGGGTTCGTTTTTTGTTACCGAACGATTTTGTTAGTGACTTGGCGTTAATTGGTATACAAGAAATAATAAAATTAAGCAAGATGTCAATATGTCAGTAGAATTTTTGCTTTGTTGGAACTTTCAATGCGACGGGTTTGACAAATGCGATAGAGGACGCTCGGTGAAAATTTTGCGTAGGTGAGCAGGAAAGGTGGAAAGGTAATGGTTTGGAAATAAACTATAATTTAAATGTAAAAAAATCGATAAATACTTATTTTGGTAATCAAAATTTATAAAATAACACATAGTAGATGATAAAAAAAACAATTTATATCATAAATTTTGCATTTTATTTGAATTTTTATGTGATTTTTTGGGAATTCAAACAAAGCGGGACACACTTCATACCTATTTATATATGGCGGCAAGTTCAAAATTGGTAAAAAAATGAGCTATTTTATACCTTTTACCTTAGTAGAGCTATAATTTAAATGACAAAATAATAAATACTTATTTTATATTGTGAAATTTGCAAAATAATATATAATACATCGTGGGTGGCATCGTGCCTTAAGGCAAATTGCTGGAACTTCCCGTACCGTAACGAAATGTTCGAGGAATACTGAATGTTTTCAAATAGATTATAAATATTGTAACATAGTCTAATATTTATAAGAATTATATAAACTGAATTGCAAAGTTGAGATTATTTGTTTAAAGTATATTAGAACTATAGTCAGAATTAAAAATCAAATCTGAATTATTTTCGATATACAAAAAATAAAAAAAAAAAAAATAATAATAAAACAAAATTTTTTTTTCTAAATCAATTATTTTGTTAAGACAAGCAGAAAGATTTTTGAATCATTCAAATCGGACGCTTAGTTCTCTCAAAAACTGCCATTTTTTACATATTTAGCTCCGTATCTTCGAAATGGCTGGGCCTGCCTTTGCCAAAAACTAATAAACACTTCTCCCAATCATTACTAATTGAATGTTTTTTAGATCATTTAAATCGGATACTCCGTTCTCTCAAAAATACGATTTCTATTTTCTGCACTCTTTGCTCCGTATCTCCGAAACGGCTGGACCTGCCTTTGCCAAAAACTAATCAGCTCTTTTCCTTATCAATAGGAATCGGATGTTTTTTGAACCATTCAAATCGGTTGATCCGTGCGCCCTAAAACGTGACTGGAAATTTGTATCCACACATACATACACACACACACACACACACACACACACAACCATTTTTTCTGAAGTATGCCAAAACGTTCAGAAACCTTCAAAACGTCGAGAAATGTAAAAATTTTCAATTCTGATTTTCGGCCCATTACAGTAACTTACCCTACGGGAAGTTAATAATAAAAACTTATGTTATATTATAAAATTTACAAAATAATATATATAGTATAATATGATACATAGCAAAATACCCATTAGATAATAACCACAATATAAAACAAGTATAAATATATAATAATAGGGATGATATATTGTATATATATATATATATATATATATATTTATATTTATATTGTGTGTGTGTGTGGTTCATATATAATGAATGATAGTTAATTGAATATTTATATTTTATAAGCAAGTAAGATTTACAATAGTGTTTATTGAAATGTGTAAAGAACTTCTTACTTGCATTGTTGCCAGCACAATTTCATATATTCTACAAAACAATATATTATTTAAACAATATAATTATATTATTATTATATAAACCCAAATAAAACAACAAAGTTAAAATTTCAATTTCAATTTCTATTTCTATTTCAATTTTCAAATTTCCCGCGCCATTTCCAGAGCCCCGACACTAGCGCCTTCTCCATTTGACAGATGACAGTTCGATGACGTGTCTTTGAATTGCATATTTTGCATATGGACAGTTTATTAAAGAGAATATATATTTTATTAATTAATTAATTATAAAGAAATAGAAATAAAATAAAAATAAAAAAATGGTGCTAATGACAATGATAGCTCGCGTCGTCGACGGCCTACCTTTGGCCGCGACAATGCAAGAAGATGAACAGGTTACTAAAAATATAAATAAAATAAATAATAAATAAATAAACATGTATTACATTATAGCTAAAAATACTATTTTTATGTTGTAGTCTGGAAGGAGTATATTAGAATATCAAAACCAAGCTAAATTATTATTTCGAAAGCTCGGTATTCAGTCTCCGGCAAGATGTACTTTGGAAACAGGACCGTATCTTTTCAGTACGTTGGGACATCAAATATATATAATAAAAAATATATAAATTAAATGAAATTAATATGTGTAAATTTATATTTTAGTTATTTAATAGAAATGAAGTGTGTTATCTAGTGTTATGTGAAAGAAATTATTCTAAACGCTTAGCATATTCGTATTTTTGGAAGATATCGCTCAAGAATTTCATTCGCAATATGGCAAAAAGGTACTAACATAATAAATAAGTATATATAAAAAATATACATACATACATACATACATACATACATATATATATATATATATATATATATATATATATATATGTTTAATAGTGTTAGGCACGTTTATTCAACCGTGTTGATAAATTTTATCAAATGTTTGTAATACTAACAAAACATTACATCAGCATTCGAATGATGCAATCATAATTTTTTTCAATACATACACAGTACTTGTAGTGCTGATTAAATTACTTAATGCTAATTCTCTAGAATTAGTTTACATTTAATCAATATTGATTAAATTCATTCTTTATTCGTGTTAGCAAAAACAATTGCAGTATTTGTTGATAAGCACTGTAAATTCCAAACAGTGATTAGAATTTATGTTGCATTGCATAAAGTTTGAATAATAGTTGAAAAAATCAAAAATAATTTTTTTAGTACGAATTAAAATTGAATAAATATTTTTAATAGTTTTTTTTAAGTCTGTGTAATGATTTTTATAAGAACGAATCAATTTTGAAAGATTTCATGTTAGAAGAAAATTAAAATATTATAGAGAAAAGTGCAACCAGAAATTTAAATTAACTCATGGTGTATGGCGTCGTGCCTTAAGGCAAATTGCTGGAATTTCCCGTACCGTAATGAAATATTCAAGTAATTTTAAACGTTTTCAAATATATTATTACAAATACTCTGTAACTTTCATATATTTTTGCTATCTTGTTATATCTGATTGTGAGCAAATCAAATGTGAATCATAAATCATAAATCAATTTATCTCCAGAACATTAACAATCGTCATTTCATTTCGAATTCAATTTCAAGAAAAAAAAATAGTTGCATAATTTGCACAAAATTGAAAAAGTGCTCCCGTATAGTCACAATCTAAACGCATTTTCAAACAATTCTGTTCGACATTTTCACTTATACTGTGCTTAGCTTGACGGCATTTTCACATTTTTCAATAGTTTTCACAAAATTGGAAATGTGCTCCAGTATATAAACAGTTTAAACGCACTCGGGTAAACATTTGTACCAGAGTGGCGCTTAGACTGTGCTTAGCCTGAGTGATTTTTTAAATTTTAAATCCAAAATTCCAAAAATATAGTTTGAAAAAAAATATTAGAAACAACAAAATTTTTTTCCAAAAGCAATGATTTTGTTCAAACAAGCAGAAAGTTTTTTTAGATTATTCAAATCGGACGTTTAGTTCTCTCAAAAACTGCCATTTGTTTAACATTTAGCTCTGTATCTCCGAAACCGCTGGGCTTACCTTTGCCAAAAACTAATAACCACTTCTCCCGTCATTACGAACTGAATGCTTTTTGGATCATACAAATTGGATGATCCGTTCTCTCAAAAGCTCGATTTGAATTTTTTGCACTCTTTGCTCCATATCTCCGAAACGGCTGGACCTGCCTTTGCCAAATACTAATCAGCACATCTCCCTATCAATACGAATCGAATGTTTTTTAAACTATTCAAATCGGTTGATCCGTGCGCCCGAAAACGTGGACGAAAAAATGCGGACGTACAAAACTCACACACACACGCACATCTATTTTTTTAGGGTATGCCAGTAAAATGTTCAGAAACCTTCAAAACGTCGAGAATGCACAAATGCATTACTATAACTACCCCATTACTATAAATTATTGAAAATAGTCCAAGTATACTAAAATAGTCAAATGTATAAACAAATTCAAATATTTCAAAAATTCCAGCAAAATTTGCCAAAAAATTTTAAAAGTTGTTCAAGAAAATTATCTCAAAGCTTTTTAACTTTTAAAAATGCAAAAATGTGAATTGAGTTACATAGAAAATATCTAATCAAAAATCCAATTTTTTGAAAAGCTGTTTAATATTAAAAAAAATTCAAATTATGTTAAAATACTTAATGTTAGCATTAATTATGAAACATTGTTGCAAAATAATGAATATTAAAAATCATCAAATATTATGATATAGTTTCAGACAACCTACAAGCGTTCTAGATGTCTTTACAAATTTTCAGACATTCTGCAACCTTTCTAGACTTCCTTACAAAATTTTCAGGCAATACTTTCAAACAACCTTGCATTCTCTCACAATATCAATTTCTATTTTTCCCTCCCCAAGTTTCACTTCCAATTGCAATATTACTTCCAGGTGAATACTGTAACAAGGCCCTACACATCATAGATAGAATTGATACGTACATTCAGAAAGCAAGAAAAGTTTTCACAGACAACAGAGCACGTCGAAACATGAGCAGTATCAATAATCAACTGCAGGACGTACAACGAATCATGGTCCAGAACATTGATGATGTTCTACAGAGGGAACTGTCCTATCAGGTAAAGAAGATAATGTATATATATATATATATATATATATATATATTACATTATATATTTATTTCTTCCAGAATTGGATACAAAAACCAAAAACCTCTCGATGTTGTCCAAAAGTACAAAAGGACGCGACTTATCTTAACACCAAATCTTTGTACGTAAAAGCAGCAGCCGGTTGCATAGCCGTCTTTGTATTTGTTTTATATTTCTTTGTTTTGTAGTAAATTATTTATTG